AAAATTGCCCAAGTCTTGTTTTGCTTTGTTTTTAATCAGGAATAGTTAAGTAACAAATTGGACTGCTAATCACATCAGGATACAAATTCTGCCATCACCCAGGCTTGTGACAACTTTCTCATTGTTACATTGTGTATGACCGTGCATAAAGTGTAGCATTGCTCTGTACATTGCCTCTGTGACAATTCAGGGGCAGTGATTCACTTCATTCTTGTATCCCAATTATGCATAGTTTTGAGAAACGCTTGCAATTGTCTTTTACTCAATGACCAGTAGTTCTACTTATCATATAAGGTAAGCATGTCCTTACAGGTAAGGGATGTACTTGTGAGATGGATGACTTTCATAGACCAGAAGAGTCAGGAGAAGCCTGGGGGGCCAGCATTACATATAGCAGTTGGTCAGTGTTAATACAGTGTCACCTGCCTGCAAGTAGACACACAGAATAGAAAAGGGAGATCAACCCGCTTTCTCAAGGATTTGGCATCTAGGATGGGTACAACAGACATACCACCGACTTTTAGCAACTCACAAAGATTAAGGAGGTCTTAACTACTCTAAAAACTGAATTAACCTTTACAGATCAGTGAGTACTGTCAATCTCATTATGATGAATTTATCTTACATTTGCACATATGAAAGAATTTTACATATACTTAGTTATAGCAAAAGGAATGAAAATAACAGAATTGAATAACCATATGGGTTAGGTTAAATAAGTTAAATGTGCACTCAGGCAACGGAGAACTTGTTTACCCTGAGATGCATGACAGAAAGGCCAGTGCTACAATTTTGAGCCACATTTGAAACAAACTTTAATTGAACACTGACAAGGATGAACTCTGGTCAGGTCACGTCCATTCTGGGATTCCCAAATGACCCTGGGTCACATTTTTTGGGGCTTTAAAAAGGCAAAACCCACAATTTGTTCCATTTCCCATCATGTCCAATCAGGGACAAACATACATCCTGAAGTATTTCCTGCCTATATACCTCCCTCCTATATGTGATCAAGACATGTTAGTTGATTCAAACAAACTTGTCTAGGGTAGTGAACATGTGGTTGGTTATTCCCCTGAAACTGCAACTGCCAGTGTTCTGAAAGTTACCTTGTCCTTGGAAATGTCGTCCTTAAAGGGTTAACTTGTCACTTATAGTACTATGTATTCAGGAGAATGTAACATCCCGGAAACCAGAAAATAAACAGAATGGAGTTAAGACCATTCAAGAAACAGTACTAACAACAACTATAATACAAAGTAAAGATTATATCATTCTACAAATACTATGAGGAAATAATACATGCATACATATGAGTGTGCATGTATATGCAGAGTATATCTGTTGAAAACAGATATGGAAATAGGAATGAAGATTAAGAACAATTGGAGGAACAGAAAGAGAGGGTCTGCATCTATTCATGTCTTCTGTATCTGCCAATATGAAATCACCTCAAAGTAAAATTAAGTTACATGAAAATACAAAACTATCAAAATATATTAGGAATAATAGGAGAAATGGGCTTAGGAAGAACAGACTTGAAAGTGAAAATAAATAATATTCCTTTATCTTTTTTTTCCTTTTATAATGTATTGTAGAAATTTGGGAATGTTAGAAGTCTAAAATTCCTGCATTTGTAAAATCTGGGGAAGGGCATATGTGAAAGTGATCTAGTCTGTTCAGAATATTCTGGCAAGTGCAGGTTGTCAGAGATACAAGAGTTTGTCAAGGCTGAGCATCCCTTAGGTAGGGAAGTGTTGACCATTTTGAGGGTAACATTAGGTCTGCAAAAAAACAGAGTCTCTTGGTCGCTGGGGAATATGGCTTGCAATAAGCGACGTTTTCATACATTCAGTCTAAGTGAATGACCAGAGGGGATACTGTGAGAAGGAATAAAGGTGGTGCCATCTGCTATACAAGAGAGAACCATATAACCATATGTCCCCTTTTGCCAGAGGCAGGGAAATGACTCCTTTTGATAGACAGTAATTCATGTCAAGTTCCTGAGGAACCCTGGCTTTATCTAACCTCCAGAAATCCTTCTAGAGTCCAGCTTGAGCTATATCTGGGTATGTGTACTGCCTGAAAGATAACAATCCAGTCTTTTGTTGATAATAAGCTGCTAATGGTCTCTTCTATAGCTGCTTTACAGCTGGGAGTGAGGAAGGCAATGACAGAAGACCGGTGGAAAGTTCTTCAGAATAGTAAGAGATGGGGATCAACCACATTGACTGAACTGGTTTACATTAGCTTTCAGCAAGGCCAGGGCTTACTGGTTTTGCAGGACCACCTGGGGCTAGTGAGGTGAGACCAGTTTGCAGGGCCACAGTTGATTCCTGGATGGTATCTGATGAGTCAGATTCCTGGATGGTATCAGATGAGTCAATCTGCTGGGACAGATATGGACAAGGGACAGAAGGCATTAGCATGATCCTTGTCTGCAACCTGCACTGAAATCCTCATTGTAGAAAAGCAGTTAACAAGTGTAGGCAAATAGCTGGAGAAGACTGAGGCCTTTGAGTTACAACAAAATAAAGCATGATATCAACACAACAGAAGTATAGACATTCATTTGTAACAGGATAGGCAGGAAAGGGACAAAAGGGAAGAAGAGATTAAGGATCCACAAAATGGTTCTGGGGTAAAAGCAAATGCACTCTTTCCTCTGTCCAGAGAACTGGACAGATACACACTCAACAGAGCAATTTCTAGCACAATGAGAAGCATTTTTAAGACTATATTTAGAAAACTATCAAAGGACATTTACAGTCTTGAACCTGTGACAATCATAGTAGCCATTGCTTTGCCAAGGCTAGATTAATGGCTTACCAGAACTCCATTTATTAGTGTTAAACCCCCAGTTTTTGAAGTCTTAATATCATATGTCTCATCTGTAAATCTCATTTTTCTCATACCTTACATAACTCCTCAGACCTTCACAACTGGCATTTACCCACCTTAAATCATTTCCTTAGACCTTTGCAATGGGCATAAACCTTAATGTTTTAATTTTTCTACATCTGGAAACATCCTGTCATTTATTATGAGACATAAGTGATTGATTATTGACAGCAGTCATTGAAAAGCAAGTTCTTTAAAATAAAGAAATAGTAAAAAAGCAGTATTTAGTAATAGCAGCATAATAGCTTGAGTTCTCTTTTATTGAAACTTGTCTGTGAGTTTCTCTTCTCTGGCAGAAGGTCTACCAACTTTAGGAAAAGGGAGAAAACTGTGTGTGAGTATACCTGTATCAGTAGGAGGCCTGCCAGCAAGGAGACCAGGTCTGTGAGTTTACCATTTCAGTAGGAAACCTAGTAATCATATGGAAAGTAGGGTCATGTTTTTGCATATGAAACCAGTTCAGGCTAGCAGGTAATTGTGTCTTGGCCTTTCAAAGTTTTTTATTTAAGAGACTCAGGTCATTTAAATGTTTGGAAAGTTTCAAAATTTGTATAATCAACAAGCAACTTGTTCATCTTTTGCACTCAATGTACTATAAAGCCATACTGATTTGAAGGTGAAAGCAAACTTTCTAGCCATAAAGGGACTGACTGGGAAGTGCAGCCTTGTGTAGGAGTGTAGGCAGGACTGCGAGACTCTTAATATAGGGTCTGGTACAAGGTGGGACTCCCCATCACTGCCATTGCAGAGATCTGAACAGGATAAATTTGAGTAGGAAATATAGACCAGTATCTATTACATTAGGAATTATGCAGATCAGTGACTTCTGTATCTATTAAAATGAGAGAGACTTGCCTGCTACCTGGAGAGCCAGCCTGGAATCCTCCATAATGATCTCCATGGATTTGTTGAGGACAAATGTCATTAGTCTTCAGCTGCCACATAGCTTGGCATAAGCCTTTAGCTTCCAGACCCAGAAGATCTGAGAGGTTTTTCTGTGAAGGAGAACTTTGGGGTTCTGGCTTGCCTTGAAGAGACAGAGTAGGACAATCAGCCCAACAGTATCCAGTTTGGGCAGTGCCCTAGTGGCAGTAATCAGTGTTATGGCACTCAAAGAAAGTCCAGGGAGAATACCTGATTCTAAACAAACTTTACATGTTTTTAACTACTCAGTTCAGGTTTAACCTTGACAACATGTCCAGAAGACTAAAGTTTGTCCCTTTAAAATTGTTACATTTGTGCTAGCATGACTATGAGCATGGTTCTGAACACATTAAAGAATTTGATCATTTATAATTTAATCATTAACTGGCATGCCATAATTATTTTTAACAGTTTGTAGCAAGTTAGTAGCTTTTATGAGATTAGGTTTTTATAGTTTTATCCCTGTTAAATTTGAACCTTAAAATTTTGAATTGAAGATTCAAATTAACATCAAAATAAAACTTTAATTCATTAAGACAGTCTCCAGATTGAGAACTTTATTTTCCTGATCTTTTTTATGGTGTTCAGTCATGTTGAAAGACATCTCCTACAGCTATATGTGTTTTCCTTAAAAACCTGTGGTACAAGTTGAGTACATGGTAGTTCATATAATCCCAACTCTTTGGAGGCCAAGACCAGATTATTGTGGTGAGTTTAAGGCCAATCTGTGCTACACAGTGTGTTCTAGATTAGTCTTGGCTGTAGTATAAGACACTCTCTCAAAAACACTTTTTTTCTAAAGTAACGGCTCTTATGATACAGTCATGCAATACTATCGTTGAAATTACTTAAAATGTCAGTCAGTATTCTGCCTAAGAACACATCACACTCGTTAAGTTGTGACTGCCTTTTCGAATAATACTGACAGCACTCTGAAAAGTGTGACACCCTAGGGAAAGAAGATGAAGGTGGCACAAAGTTCCCACGTTGAGAGTTTCTGCCTTCACACCGTGACCCAGCAGGGTTAGTGACTCCCAAAGGAAAGACCAAGTGCTTGCCAGGCACACAGAAAGACTCTTGCCTTTGAAGCACTAGAGTTGGCTAATGGGGCAAACATGAAAATGACCATTTCTCCCATAGACCTGATGTCTCTGCTTCCTGTATTTCTGTTTTAGAGCATCGTGTGTACTGGCCGGCGTCAGTGGCACCCAGATCCCTCCCTGGTCTACTGTATCCAGTCATGTGAGGTATGTGGTCTTGACTTCCCTAAGCCATGTGGAGAGCTGTGAATAATGCCAGTCCCTCCAATTCAAGGTCCCGTTTCTCCTGATCCCTCTTTCCTACATTTAGTTTCTTAAATGATGCTGCCTCCCAATCCCAAATTCACAGAAGTTAGGATTTCCGAACTCAGTTTTATTTTAGTAAAATCTTTAGTCACTTAAAAGGCAAGCCAGAATTATTTATGGCTTTGGGATTCTGTGACTAGGCCTTGGTTGGAATTAGTTAAATAAGGATTTTAATATAGACAATTTTGTTCAGCCAATACAGTGCCTAAAACCAACTTTGGTGTGTGTGTGTGTGTGTGTGTGTGTGTGTGAATATTTAAAATTAAGATTGTTGTGTGTGCATTTATGCAGATAGGATATTGTACTGCAGCTACTATAGACCAGACTAGACCAGACTAGACCTTGTGGTAATCCTTCTACCTCAGGTTCCTGAGTACCAGAGCTATTCATAGGTAGGAGGCACCAGGCTTGGCTTGAAATTTAGATATATATGTACTAATATAATATCATATATACATATTACAAATTAAGATAAACACAAAAATCTTTGTGCAAAGCATTTCCCCCTCACAAAACAAGAATACTGGAGGTTGTGGCCACAATGCTGGACTTGAACAACAGGTATAATCCCAGAGCACACGTTACTCCAGTCAGCATGTAACTCACTTCTTGTGCTCACTTTGCTGAGACTCCCCTCCTTTGCACCAACTGAAAGGTTACACAGGTGTCTAAGCAACCTTCTAGGTAGAAGTGTACTCCACCATTGTGTGGTCTGACCTAGATCTTTACTATATCAAGAAATCCCATCTCCCACAGTAAATTCCCCTATCAGTAATTACTAAGAATAACATAGCAAAGACTTCCTTAACCTCACAAAGATAAGTCTTGAGTGAATCAGAGCATTGCCTAGAGAGAATGACCTAAGAACCCTCTGACACTGAGAAGGAGGACATATGTAGCCCATTTACGTAAATCCTCCAATCCTAGGGACAGTCGATGGCAAATACAAATATTCTAGTCCAGGCACTGCCCTGTCCAGCATGGCTGGCTCCAGGGAAGGTCCTGACTGAGGTGGAAAAAGGATGAAGAGAAAACAGATGACAGACAGACAGACAGACAGACAGACAGGAAGATACATGGATGCACACACATACACACAAAATTGGCATCAGATGCGTGAGAATATCTGATGGAGAAGCTGCAGCACACTGTGAAACTCAATGTGTTTATTACAGAGATTTCACCAAAGGGTCAGGGTTATTGCAGGTGAACATGAAGGCTGAGTTTATGACATACAGCTAGATGAAGGAGACAGGGTTAGTGAATCTTAGGGGAGCCGTTTCTGTGGGGATAAGCCTTCAGGTCATAGATACCAGGGTAAAGAAAGCTAAGATGGACATTTTCTATACATGGTCAACACTCATACTTTGTCCTTTCTGAAGGCTTTGTCACCCCTCTCAGTGGGCATGGCCATGTAAACAGAACACATTCACTCAGAACTTCACTCACTCAGGGCTTTCTCCACTCCCCACAAGTCACTGCAGATTTATTCATCCAAACCTCTCTTTGGAAGTTAATAAGCCACTTTGCAGCACTGCCCAGATATTTTTGGCTCCTTGGAGTGTGCTAAAGAAAGCGCCTTTAACTGCCATTGATTTCCAACAATTCCTTCAAACACACCCAACCTGCATGCAGGAGTGTTACTCTTCTATTCTGTGTCTCAGAGTCTCTTGATCTAGTTCTGAGAAACTGGGGTCCACATGAGACCAGAGAAAGGGAAGGGGTGGGATTTCAGAGAAAACTGGTGGAGAAAAGATACCCATAAAACAGCATTCTGAGGATGTATGAGGGCTAATGCTAGCGTGGAGTGTGCTGTGTTATGGTGCAGGGCCAACCGAACAGCTCATCTTCTGCCATCATTAGAAAAACAGATGGTGGTGGGGTGGGGTGGGGAAGCGAGGGGAGGCAGTGAATCATCCACTGGGCAGGGGGTGATGGGGAGAGAGGAGGCCAGGGAAAGACGGAGATAAACAGACAGAGGGCTTAGGGAGCTGGACAGAGATCAAACAGATCCTGAGAGTTCCCTTCTGTTGTTTCTATGCATCATCACAAGTACGAGGGTGAATGTCAGGGCTTAGGGCTTGCTTCAGGGCTTTCCAGAAGGTTACAATACAGAGCTTTCTGTGCTCATTTTTCCCCAGCCCCGTTCCCCAGCATATCCTCTAGATTGACCTATTAGCCAGAGCTTCCTTGAGGACATAGCTACCTAGGAAGCAAAGCTCTCTTCTCCCTGGTTGCTTCCCCTCACCCACCACTGTCATGCACTGCCAAACTCAGACCCTCTGATGGACAGACAGTTCATTGGTTCTGTGTAGCTCCTGACTAGTGTCTTTGTCATCACTTGGGAACTGAGATGGCACCTTCTTAGTGCATCCTATATCCACTATGTTAGAAAGTGCAACAGGGGAGACAGCAACCGGTATCTTAACTAGCAAGGGACTCTGAAGGTCACTGTGAAAGTCTAAGACCTACTATCCCAATGCCTGGGAGGAGACTAGAAAGTTACTTATCTGGGCATTCCCATGTTGAAGCTTTCTTTATTTAGAAATAATTACATTCCCCCATCTCTTCTCTCTCTCTCTCTCTCTCTCTCTCTCTCTCTCTCTCTCTCTCTCTCTCTCTCTCTCTCTCTCTCTCTCTCTCTCTCTTTGTGTATGTGTGTTGGGGGGTATATGTGTGTACTCATGTGCATCTGAATACACCAGCAGATTCAAGACAGAGAGTGATATTGGATGTCTTCCTCAATAACTTTACACTTTACTTTTGGAGACAGGATTTCTCACTGAATGTCGAGTTAGTTCATTCACTATCTAGTCAACGAACTTCAGGGATCCTCATATTTCTGTCTCCTAGGTCCTGGAATTACAAATACATGTTGCTACATATGGCTTTTTATTGGGTACTAGAGATCTGAACTAAGGTACTTATGCTCACACAGCAAGCTCTTTACTGACAAAGACATCTCAGCTTCAGATGTAATTCTGTACAACATTATTTATATTCTGATAATCCTATACTACTATGGAATAGTATATACTGTTATTTCCCAGTTATCTGGGTTAGGAGAGGCTTAGAAAACTGGCCATTGGTTTCTGTCCTGTCAACAAGGGTAATGGAGAACATAGTTCATTTAAAGAGGGGAGGGAAAAGCACAGAAAGGCAGAGTCAGTTGGACCCATAGGAAGGAAGAGAGACAGCATGGGAGAGCACAGGAGAGGAAGGAGAATGTCCCTGGAGATGCAGCAGTGAGAAATGCAGAGATAGGAGGTAGGGACCAGGAAGAAAGAAACTTGGCTAATTCTTAACACTTTACTGAAAAAATCTAAACATGTTAGCATCAAAGGAAAACAGACCCAGAGGCAAGGAACAGAGGGCCTGCTGGGTGAGAAATTTTGCAAAGCACAGTATATAGTCTGTACTGAAATTAAATACATTGTGACTTGTAATCTAGATGGGATTCTATTTTACAATCCAATACTAAATATTAGTCTAAATTGTCCCCTGGAGTCACTCAGCCTTGTACAAGTGTGCCTCGTGCATTCTTTCTCCTAGTGACTCAAGGCAGTAACCTCCTCCCATTGCCTCCTTGTCTCCAGCCTGCAGGCCATCAAGGCCAACAAAGTAACTTTTTTGCATCATTTCTCTCTCCTGTACCACAGTACCCTTGTAATCCACTCTATACCATTCTGTCCTTCTCACATTTTTAAGATGCCCCTCCAGGAATTCCTTTAAAACAAACAAACAAACAAACAAACAACCAGCAAAAACCGTTAAAACAAATCTGTTTCCTTATGACTCGTATTCCCACTATCTCTAATAGAAGTCAGGTTCACTACAGATCTGCGGTCCAAGTATGCTCATCTGCACATTCTATTTTTGTAGTTGCTTCTTGCATTTGGCCTTCTTGACCTAACCATTTCTTGTGTGTTTTTCTGTTTCATTTCATGCGTTATAAATGAACAAGAAATGGCAAGTTGGCTAGAGGAAAAGTTTAGAAGGCAGAAAACTCTAGACTCAATATCTGGGTCAGGTAGTAGTAGAACTTCAGAGTCTTGGTCTGAAGTAGCAAATAAACAACAAAGCTATTTCAAGGTGTTATTGACTACTCATGCCCTGTGTGTTGTGGCTGGCCCATAATGGTATCGTTGTTTGCAATGTATTAGCTACCCCATCAGTGTTTGTTCAATGAGCCAAACCTAAATTAGGGATCTTAACAAATTAGGTATGAACCCTGAAGCTGGGAAAAGGTAAACAAAGGAAAGCAGGACATTCCCATGGAGAGCCATTGAGATGTATAAATCACAAATCACTCGGAAACAGCTAGCTATTGCATCCAGTCCAATTGGATCAGCTTGTCATCAGATCATCCTATGAGTCACTCTATTTCTTTAGTCTTCCTCTTGTCCTCTTAAATGGAGTCTAATCAAATGAGCTAATGTAGTAGATTCCTAATTGTCCTGCCTTTCATACATGTGCCCAACAGCTACCTTCATATCCTCTACAGTTACTATAGTATTTTTCTATTGTCCATTTGTTTCTTTCTAAACCATCCTAGGAAGTTCCTATCATTTTCATATGAGTAAGTATATAGTAAACAGGTCTTTCTCTTGCAGAACTATGTCTGTTCTAGTACCTTTGTGGATTCTGTACCCTGATGTGAAAAGTTTTATGTCACATGGCATTCTAAAATGAGCATGGGCTTTACACTCTGGGTTCACTTTCAGATTTAGACATTTGTTCCACTTGTTGTGTGACTCTAGACAGGTGTTGTTGCCTTTACCCTGCCTCATCTGAGACATAATAGGATTTTTCGATGTAGTTTTTATGTATCGCAAAGTTGTTTTGAAGATAAATGAGAGTTCATGGGTGGCAAAATCAGCCAATGTCTTACTAATAATGAA